CGAAAAAGTAACGCAAACTCGGATACTATTACCAGTGGAAATGCAAAAGAACCGCGCCGAAGCGTACCGTACCGTAACGTTCCGTTACTGTGGAAAAGGGTTAAAAAATAGCAGAGAAAGAGCAACAGGCTTCAGGCCAGCTGTGGCTACAGTAGTAGTTTATCACCACAATGTATGGAGTGAAAGAAAAATGTGAAGCATCTGTGCCCAAAAAGCACTATATAAAAAAACAGTGCATCATTAATTGATAATTGTATGAACCCTTTTGGCTGTAAAGTGCCAAACTGCAGTTGTGTCCTTAGGCAAGACACTTCACCCCCATTGCCTAGAATGAGTCTGCTGTGTGTGAATGGTTGGTGGTGGTCGGAGGGGCCGATGGCACATACTGGTTGCATCGCTTCTGTCAGTCTGCCCCAGGGCAGCTGTGGCTACAGTAGTTTATCACCACCATGTATGGAGTGAAAGAATAATGACATGTAAAGCGTCTTTGAGTGTCCAAAAAACACTATATAAAACCGATGCATTTTTATTATTATTATTATTATTATTATTATAAAACAAAAATGTTTCAAAAGCAAAAAACCTGTGGTCAATGTCACCTGTTGACTGCATTATCATACAGAAATATTGTCAACTGCAAATTAATCTGAAGGACATTGCTCATAAAAAATGTATAAGATGTAAATCAAGGGGGGATAGCCGTTCACTGAGCCTAAACCTACCTACATCTATTATGGTTTATTATAAATTTATATTTTTCCTTATCACAAATATAATTTCAACTTTATGACAATATGCTCTCATATTGTTGGACTGATACTTTTATAAAATAGCATTGTTAAGAACTCTAAGGAGGAGTGACCATGATTAAAAAATGAATTGTTTATACTTTTTGGTATACCAAAATAAACCAGTGTTCTTTTTATGAAACATAGTCAGGGTGTTTAGTTAATGTATAGTGAGAGGAAGCAAAGCAGAAGGTGTGAGCCACCCACATTGACTCATGCAAGATTATCCAACTCCTATTTAATACAAAATAATTTCATTTGTGAATGAAAATGATATTTCTCCCATTATTGCTCCAACTGTTGGCTGATATAGTATATTTACACAGGGGAAAACAAACATCTCAAAGTGCAGTGTATAATCTATTGCAAAAATTACTTGATTCTCAAGCAAATAACTATAATTGTAAAGCTCATTAACTAAACAGGATTGGACCCTGATCCAAGACAATCCTATTTTTCATTTGATGGAAGTCTCAGAATGAACCCTCGAAATGAAACACAAGTAGACTTTGGATGTATTAGTCTTTAGTCTTGATTTTTGGAATTTTTTTGGAATCCAAGTGCTAGAGTATTGGTAAGCCTACGTATTTCTTTTAAGTCAACCTCCATTCATTCGGCTATCATTGGCATGTCTGTTTATTTGATTTTTGCCAGCAACATGTAACAGGATTAGCTTTGGCTCTAATTCCCTCATGGAAGAGACTGATAGAACATTCTTCACTTTAACAGACTATAATAACATTAATATCTGCTTTTGCCTCTTCAGCTCCAGTAAACACCCCTTACTTTTAAGAAAGCCGATTAGGAGCAGTAGATATGGCTAGCGTACCAAATACCTCGGGTAAAATGAGGATCTCGTGCATACGGAGTAATCTGATTTTCATATTCACAGCATTCAAGTGACGTGTGAGCTGACCCAAAGTACCACAGTACACAGATCTCCATCACCTCCAGTGTTGGAGAACTGTGACAGCCAAGGTCGAGAAAGAATGGCACAGGAGCCCAAACGGAGATAAGGCTCTGGAACACATCTGAAGCTCCGTGCTGATTTTCACAGAAATATAATCCCTCTGCTGAATTATTAAATGGGGCTCCCTCACCCTAAATAACACCCTGCAAGCATTGTTTGACATCCTGGATGAATAATTAAGGACTGACCTTTTGTTCCCCATAGAGGTGACGGACTTTCGGGATGATTTCAGGAAAGTTACTACAAGCAGTGTCTATTGTGTAGCTGGATGATCTATTTAGGGGACAAAAAAACAACTACAGGGGCAAATCTGAATACACACACAGACACACACGCACATGCACATGTTCACACACACACACACAAGCACACGAGAGCAAGGTAAAGTTGGACTTTAATGACTTAGGAATTAAATCCAGGCCTTATGTTATCATCAATATTTAACCCTCTGGACGCCAAGGTTGACTTAAAAACCTTGGTGTTGGTTTAAAACGACCGATTGTGTCAAGCAGGGTGTCAACATTTATTCAAACTCCCTGCCACACAAAGATTTGCACCGTTCTACTATATTTCCCTAAACCTTGAGTATAGTACAATGTGAGTTCTGTTTGTGTGTTTATGTCCTAGTGATCTATATGTCCTGCAGTAAAATAAAAAAAATCCATGATTGCCACCACCATAAACCTTTGGGCCATCCTAAAATGTTCTCTAAAATACATAAAGCCTTCTCTTATCACTTTTAAGTTGTTAATAAATTAAGAGCCTCTTAGGAAAAAACCTCTGGCGCCTAAAGAGTTAATTTATTTTATTTTCAAAAACAACCATACATGCAAGAAACTCATGTACCACATGTACCATCCACAAACAAGGCGTGATTATAAAAGGGACTGCCAAGGCCCTCAGTAAGTTTTCATGGTGGTTTTAATGAAAGAAAAAGAAAATGATATGAAGTTGGCCATTGTGTTTAAATGATGTCTCATTTCACTCCAGCTACAAGGTCAGGCATCGCAGCAACACAGATGGCTCGGAGAACCCGGAAGTACAATACGCCAAGCAGCACGCGTTTGTAGTTCAACAAAGCAGTAAAAAAGTGGTGAGGATGGATATACAGTATTCGGCCCCCTTGAACCTTTCAACATTTCGCCACATTTCAGGTTTCAAACATAAAGATATAAAAATTAAATTTTTTGTCAAGAATCAACAACAAGTGGGACACAATCGTGAAGTGGAACGAAATTTATTGGATAATTTAAACTTTTTTAACAAATAAAAAACTGAAAAGTAGGGCGTGCAATATTATTCGGCCCCCTTGCGCTAACACTTTGTAGCGCCACCTTTTGCTGCAATTACAGCTGCAAGTCGCTTGGGGTATGTCTCTATCAGTTTTGCACATCGAGAGACTGGAATTCTTTCCCATTCTTCCTTGCAAAACAGCTCGAGCTCAGTGAGGTTGGATGGAGAGCGTTTGTGAACAGCAGTCTTCAGCTCTTTCCACAGATTCTCGATTGGATTCAGGTCTGGACTTTGACTTGGCCATTCTAACACCTGGATACGTCTGTTTGTGAACCATTCCATTGTAGATTTGGCTTTATGTTTTGGATCATTGTCCTGTTGGAAGATAAATCTCCGTCCCAGTCTCAGGTCTTTTGCAGACTCCAACAGGTTTTCTTCCAGAATGGTCCTGTATTTGGCTCCATCCATCTTCCCATCAATCTCAGCCATCTTCCCTGTCCCTGCTGAAGAAAAGCAGGCCCAAACCATGATGCTGCCACCACCATGTTTGACAGTGGGGATGGTGTGTTCAGGGTGATGAGCTGTGTTGCTTTTACGCCAAACATATCGTTTTGCATTGTGGCCAAAAAGTTCATCTGACCAGAGCACCTTCTTCAACATGTTTGGTGTGTCTCCCAGGTGGCTTGTGGCAAACTTTTTATGGATATCTTTGAGAAATGGCTTTCTTCTTGCCACTCTTCCATAAAGGCCAGATTTGTGCAGTGCACGACTGATTGTTGTCCTATGGACAGACTCTCCCACCTCAGCTGTAGTTATCTGCAGTTCATCCAGAGTGATCATGGGCCTCTTGTCTGCATCTCTGATCAGTCTTCTCCTTGTTTGAGATGAAAGTTTGGTGGGACGGCCGGGTCTTGGTAGATTTGCAGTGGTCTGATACTCCTTCCATTTCAATATAATTGCTTGCACAGTGCTCCTTGAGATGTTTAAAGCTTGGGAAATCTTTTTATATCCAAATCCGGCTTTAAACTTCTCCACAACAGTATCTCGGACCTGCCTGGTGTGTTCCTTTGTCTTCATGGTTCTCTCTGCGCTTTAAACAGAACCCTGAGACTATCAAAGAGCAGGTGCATTTATACAGAGACTTGATTACACACAGGTGCATTCTATTTATCATCATCAGTCATTTAGGACAACATTGGATCATTCAAAGATCCTCACTAAACTTCTGGAGTGAGTTTGCTGCACTGAAAGTAAAGGGGCCGAATAATATTGCACGCCCCACTTTTCAGTTTTTTATTTGTTAAAAAAGTTTAAATTATCCAATAAATTTTGTTCCACTTCACGATTGTGTCCCACTTGTTGTTGATTCATGACAAAAAATTAAAATTTTATATCTTTATGTTTGAAGCTTGAAATGTGGCGAAATGTTGAAAGGTTCAAGGGGGCCGAATACATTCGCAAGGCACTGTAGAAGAAGCCATGCATTTGGTATGAATAAAGTGAGGATTTAAAGCCAGAACAAAAAGGTACGTTTTTGCCGTGCTTCCTACATACATCTTGACTCAACGACAGCTATAGGTTAAGGCATAAAGGTATACCCGTGTTGGACGAATGGATCATAGCGTTGTGATTTCCAACAATTTATAACGTGAATTGACTTCCAGACTGACCCAATGCCCAAGGTCTCTCACTGGTTCCAAAAGAACATGCCCGAAAAACATCTTGTCTACGTGCTAAATAAAACCTCTCTGATCATTAGAATATATTGACACATTGCACCAGAGCAGGGCCTTGCACTTCCTTAAATCTCACTATGGTTTCACTTCCTTCTTTATGCTATCTCTCTTTCTGTTCCCAGTAGAAGCACATGCATACAAACTTTTTCATTTTGCCTTGATTTCCTCCAACTTCTCACAATATTAATGCTCCCTATATACTACAGCGATTGCTAAGTCACACACAGCACTTATTCAGAGCCTGGCTCCGGCCGCAGTGCTCCATCATGAACACTATGGTGCAGCTTCCCCTAACTCCCAGCTGGGCCTGGATGGTGCTCTTCCTCTGGCCATCCTCTCCGGGCCATCTGGAGCTCCATGTCCCCTCTCCGCTGGTCCTGTGCCAAACAGCGCAGTCTCCCAGGAACGCTGCAGCGTCTTCGAGCACAATCTGTATGTGTCAAAAGCTCTGGTGTGCATGTGCCTGCTGACCTCGCTCAGTGAAGTCATTGAAGCCTGCATCTCCCACCACCTCAAAGGAGCTTTGATGACACCTGCGCCCCCTGCAGCCGCCTGCCCTCTGAAGCAGGCCAGGGTTATTGATTACACAGGGAAATTGGTTTAAACTGATGAATTTAAGTAAATTGTTTTGACTTTTTGTAAATGCTAATGTTGATGAAATCAGACCAGTTCCAGATAAAGAATTGGGGTATGTGCACGGAAAGACATGTAAATTATTATTAGGACCAACATTTCCTCACCATATATAAGATGATGTCCCTGGCCACCATCTCCTGTTTATTCATACGCCGCGCCTCCTCCCCATGCAACCTGCTCATCTCTCTGAACAGTGATTGGCTGTCTTCCTTGCTCATACGTGCACTTGTTGATAGCAAGGGGCCACATTTTACGATTAGCAAGCTACTGTTTATTTTCTAAAAGTAAAGTCAGTTGTTTTCCCTGAATGTCATAAAATGTGAGTAATCAGCCAAGAGAAAAGTAATGTGGATCTATAAAGCCATTTACGTATGTTTTAATCCGTCGGCCCAGTGCACTGCCCACTGGCCCAGTGCACAGGGAAGCACAGGCTCTTTCTGCACACATGCAGAGACTGAACATAACCACCTCCATTAAAAAAAAGAGATATACTGTAAGTAACAAGTTTACTTAAGCTCTCCGACCCTTTTGTGGCAGTAAGATTAGACCCTTGTGTGCTGTATTGAGTGCTGATGGGCGAGCATCCCAACTCCGATCAAAAGGCTATATTGCATATTTATGCAATATGCATATTTAGGAGGGAACATTATTGTAGAATAAAGACATAATGTTAGTTCAAAGTTTGCAGTATACTGTTCCCCTGACAGCTGAGATTAGTATAAAATGCTACAAACTATTGCAAATAGGATAACACAAGTATTGTTCCCACCAAAGGTGAAAACAAACCATTTATCCCTGCGCCTATAGAATCTTTCAAACATGACTTTCCATGTTATAGCCAGTTATAATGCAAATTAACATAAATAAACATAACAAGCCATGTTTTTATTCACTCTGTAAATTATTTCTAATTATTGCTCAGCATGGTATAGGAAAATGGTTCACACTGACTTCCACTGGGTCTCTCCTCCATCAGCCAAAATCAAGCACAGAAAGATTAGAATCAGAATCCTGGATCTGGGATCTCTTGGCCCTGGTTGCCGACTGGTTATGGCACAGATACAGCATTAATGCTAAAGTATTCAGATACAAATACATTTTTAAACATTAAAGAAGGGATGGAAATTGTAGCCACATTTCACATTTCAAGCGCGTAGGCACTGGGTTTTTCATTTGATGAAACTCCCACACATTTCAATACACTAAAAAAAGATCTCCAGGAAAGAGGGACTGGAAAACAAAGGAAAAATCAATCAGCATTTTAATTAATCCATGTGAACCTTCTAACAAACATTATCCTGCAGCTATCTTGCTGAACGGATTGTCAGAGGCAAAGGTATTTGCCAGACCCATTCAAGTCTTAACAACATGGTTCACTGATTTTTCATCATTTGCGGTTTAGCAAAGTTTAGCTCCCAGTCATGAAAACTGAATTGAGATTTTGACTCAAGGAAAGCACAATGCTAAACCAAAGTGCATCTTTGTATATATATACAATGGCAGTACAATTGGTCATTAAGGATGTTAGCCTAAAGTAAAAGTAGTGACTAACTATTTATTTAGTATATACTGTATAATGTATATTTCATGGACATACTTAAGTATTTTTCTCTGGTATGTATTTATTTCAACTTTTTAATTTAAAAGCCTTTCTTTTTTAACTTTGATCACAAATGTTACATTACATAAATAGAGACAGTACAGGTTTGAAGTGGTTAGCCTTGCTAAGTTCAGATCATACCTCTACAGTGGTATAACAGTTGTAGTAGTGTTTCCCAAGCAACACTAATTGTCTCAATTAAATAAACATAGTTTTTGTAAATTGTTTAAGAAAATGCTAAAATGTTTCAAAATTCCAAATACACAAAGCTTAGCCCTGAACAACCAGGTAAATCAACTGGTAGCCGAAGTAGAACAACGCAGACAAAAGCCGGATGCCACTCACTCACCCAGTGCTTTTATATCGCCTAATAAGCCTTAACAAAGCAAAAGGTCAATTGAATCAGCGCATTCAGTACAAAGAACGAACTCTGCGGGGAACAACTGCGGCTCAATACTTGTGAATAGATCACGGTAGAGTTTTTGATTTGTACAACATCGCTTGTCTCTCTAACATATAGTGAGCACATTGTTCTGCAGACTTCCCCGTTACCTTTGCGATGCTCCCAGATAACGCTGCCCTCGGGCGCAGGTGTCCAAGTGATGCGCCCCAGTCACCAAATCCTCCACAAGTTTGTTTCTAGTCGCAGCTACAGGAGCAATCCAGCACGTATACACGCCGGCTATGGAAGTTTTCTGGCTCCACCTCGCTTGCCTCGGTGAGGAGAGCAGATCACGCACGGCTGTTTCTGGATGCTTTCTGGAGGAGCGCGGCCAATCACAGGACTCCTCCACTCTTACATCTTTGCGCATCCCAAAAATACGCTTATGTGAGCCGGAGTCCAGGACATGGTGAAGGCTACGATGTTGGACAGACTTCCACAGGGCGTTGTTTGTGTGTTTTGTTTGTATCCAGTGGCCGTAAGCCTGTGTTGAGCCCGCGCTGGTGCTGATGCTGCTGATAGAGCGGACTGTGCGGGCGCTTTCTCTCGCGCATCCACTGGCGAGCAGGAGGAGTGTCTCTGAGCTCACTTCATTAAGTCACGGATACGGACCTGTAATTATTAGTCACACACACGTTAAAGTGGCATTGCCTTGAGTCATTAACAAAATACTGTGATACAACTCAGGCTGGTTCAGATGTTAGTCAACACGGAGAGCAAAATATAGGTTTGAGCTTTTGTGTGTTTCTAACAAGATTGTTTAGATATATGTACTGTATGTTCTGATGGTGTGTTATGTATAGGCATATGTGTGCGAAATGTGCAGGTAAATACAGGTGAATCTCAGAGAAGTATAATATTGTTACTTACCACAAAATAAGTTCATTTACATATGTAACTAAAAATATGTACAATAGGTCTGGCATGCGCCTCCTGTTCGGCGACCCCGCTCCCATCTCTGTGTGGAGTGAGAGGACAAGTGCCCAAAAAATAACAATTGTAAACCGCTTTGTGACTCTGGTCTGTGAAAGGCGGTATATAAATAAAGCTTACTTACTTACTTACTAATTTAATTTAAATTGGAAAACCAAGATATGACACAGACGCATTACATGCAAAGTGACGTATGCCAAACCTGTGTTTCTTAAAATATTGATGACTATTGCATAAAGTACTTTATCAAGATATTTTTGATGAATAATGTTTTTTACAAGTTGTGAGCCAATTATCTGCATTATAACAAATAAAGACTGAATATACTTTGTGAGTAGTATGTACTTTTATTTTGCTAGAGTTATTGTTCACTAATCTTGTGTGCTCCTCATTCCTACTGCTCAGTAACTGGTGATGCAACACTGAAATTTCCCCTCCCTGTAAAGTATCTCTTAAAATATACAGTATTTGTATCTAGAAGTCTTTGGTTGTGGAGTGAGAGTCCAAAATCTTCATGAAGATGGAATTATTTGTCTATGTTTGGCAATATGACATTCAAAAGAAGTCCCAAATAAATATTTGATAATATTTTTTCCCCCATATCACCAAGCCCAGCTAGAAATCCAAATTAGGTTAATTTGGTACTCAAAGGCGGTGGTGCTGGTACAGGTTATGGTTCACAGCTGAGGATCGTGGCACCTGTTGGCTGGAACCCTTGCATTTACATGTTGCTCTGCAGGATAACTCTTCATAGATTTATACTGGTGTATACTTACAAAACACAATGTTATAAAATCTTCCTGAATTTGTGTTTTAATTTGCACCCATTACATTTAACCTCATCTTCAAGATGAACAAATTTCTACTTTCTCAGGAGAGAAATTTCTCAGTAGAGTAATTAGCAATTGGCCTATCATACTTGGCTAACAAAAGGTAAGAAAATGCGTTTGTGTCTAAGAAACCTCTGCTCTGCATGCAGCCACGTTACAAAGACATGGAACTTTGGTGCATCTGCTGATTTCAAGTCAAGCATTTCTGCCCTGTCATATTTAGTGAAAAGGGAGATGGAACGTTGAAAGAGAAGTAGCTATAATGAAAAGAGAAAAAGGCCTGTGGGATGGATATCAAACACGGTGGATGTGCATAATTCATCTCTAAGTAGGCACTAAGCCCTTTAGAACGTTAACACTAACCTGTTTTCCCTCTTTCTCATTAAATCGCCTAAATATTGAAATAAAATCATTTCAAGGCGGTTTGTTTTCAAGTATTCTTTCCTAAGTGACAGATCTGGTTGTGAAGCCTAAATTTGGAGGGGTATATAAACGGCTGGTATATAAACGGCAATGTGCTTCATTGTTAGAAATATTCAGCTTGCACCATTATAATGTGTCTAGCGTAAAGGATTTACGTGTGAGGGACACTTGAACCATGACCAGAGCCCCTAAACAAAACAAACAAAAAGCCTTTATATCTACTTGATTTCTATGTTTTATTGTTATTAAAAATGTTTCAGCTCTGTTCTGTCAGTATGTTGGAGGGTGTGGCTGTCAGAATGCTCATTGTGCCAAGGGCGGCCTGCTGTTCCTGAAGTGTTCACACCCCCTCTGCTGGTGTCACACGACCAAAGCAAACTCAGATGTGCAGACATTAGGGAGACATCCAAATCCACCAGCAGCCCGTCCTCCACACACTCTGTCCTTCAAGTGTAGGAGCACTGTGTGAAAGTGGGCCAAAACATTGCCTAAGTGCTGAAGATCTGAGAGGCAGAGCCAGCAGCTGCACAGGCTCTGCTGGGACATCCCATGTGTATTTGCACGGCATCAGCACAGCCATCACATGATAAAAATGACTGTAGAGTCTCTTTCACGTCGGGCTGGTGCGTGGTGAACTGTTCAATGAGGGGGAGGACAGGCATTACGCATTCACAAACAAATGGCCGTCTCCTGCAGTGATGCGTTACAATCAGAAGCTTTCCTACTTATCTTAATATTTTTTTTTTTTATAAACGTATGCACTTGCCTGTCTACAAATGTGAAATAAACTGCAAAAGAAACACCATGTATCCACTGCAAAGACAAGATGAATCCAAATCCTTCAAGATGTTTTTTATTGTGCACAAATAACACTGCACGTCAACCTCGCTGCACCAACCCCATTGTCAAATATGGGCATGGTGTCATGTTGTGAGGCTTCTTTTCTTCAGCAGGGACAGGGAAGATTATCAAAGTTCTTGGGAAGGAGACTTCCCCTAAACCAGTGATTCCCAATTTTTTTCTGCTGGGCCCCCCTTTGGTTCAAAAGATTTGTTTTTAATTGTCAATCATTCTGGTGAAATGTGCTTTTCAAAAAGTGGAGCAGGCAGTTCTTTCCTTGTTTGTATCCTGTTGCCGTACGCTGTTGTAGAGCCCGCGCTGGTGCTGATACTGATGATTGCTTGGATATACGTATGTATGTCCTGTAGGATATGTTCTATATGTATATAGGCCTATGTGTGTACATGGTGAATCTCAGAAATGAAGAAAACATGGGCATACATTTTTTTTCCATCCATCCATCCATCCATTTTCTACCCTTTAATCCATTTCTGGGTCAGGGGGGTGGCAATCAGAGATGCCACCCAAGTCTCATAGCACCAGCCCCTCACTGACCCTCTGCAGGTGGTGAGTCCACAGGAGGACGGCTGCTCTCTGAGTGTGAGCATAGCCTTGATCTTTCAGTGGGGGCTTTTGGGCAAAAGTGGGGTTAAGTGTCTTGCCCAAGGACACAACAACAGCAGTCATCAGTGGGAGTCAGTGGAGAAGGTGTCGAGGTGGGAATTGAACCCACAACCTTCAGGCCTGAAGGCCAATGCTCTACCAACTGAGCCACTGTCGCCCATAATTTTTTTTTTGAATGCTAATTACATTAGCATTCTAGTGCACTCTTTGATGAGTAAAATAAATAAAAAAGACAAAAAGTAAGAAGAAACAAAAAGATTTTTAACTATGAGTACAATAGCACTAACAGGAATGTGGTGTGCATTGGTTTGTGTACATTCCCATTATGACATTATTTGTACTATGGTACTACAGCTTGTCACGAATTAGCAGCAACAATCTTTCCTAAAATCCCCTGATGATTATCAAGCTCTCTGATAGAGAAGACATCTTCTTTTAGACAGCCACAGTCTGATGTGTTTGGAAGGTTGTGTGTCTCTGGCCATAAGACAAACTGCTCCCCGATGGCCCCCTCTTCAGCCTGATGCTCTCTCTGCCCATCGCTCATCCAACTTTGACATCTGCCTCTGCTCGCAATCAATAGTGTGGCCATCCCAACTTTGCCTGTAGCATAAACACACTAATTATGAATTCACTTCCACACAAAACACAACAAGAAGTCTTTATAGAGTTATGTTTATGAAGTGTTTAATCTGTGAGCCATATCTTACTAAGGCTGTTTATTCTGAGCCTTTGATTATTTGTCCTCTGTTGATGTTTGAACCCTGTTCATGATCATCTTTGAATAAGTAGGATACCAGCGTCTCCCTGTTTGTACTGATTAAACAGCTTCAAATAAGTTGTGGTTGACAGTAGTTTACTATTATTTTTCGTAAAAGATCAACATCTGAAAAAGAGCATCTTAAAATCACTCTGGTATCATTTTTAGTAACAAGTCTATTCATTAGTATTGGAATCAGTCGGTCAGTCAGCCTCTAATCTTGCACACTTCTGGTTCGCTGGAGAAGTAGTGATTCCAATCTTTTATTTTGTTTTGTTTATTCTTCCATACCTTTGCTTCACATTTAGTGGGCCACAATGAGTGTGTAGTGTTGATTGGCTCTGTGTTGAGCTGTGCTTCTGGTGCGAGCTGAGTTACAGCCATGTCAGGATGCTGTATAAAACATGGCAGAGCACAGACATCTGTGAAGTCGTTGAGAATGTCCCCTGTGACTCTGCATGTAACTGTCAAAGTCTTTTCTCATAAATGGTTTTGGTTTTCCCAGGTGCAGAGGGACTGGATGTGCCCAGGTTTACTCAGTGATGTTCCATGGCCAGATTTTTCTGTTGTATGGAGAGTGTGAGTAACTTAAATTTGGTATCAGGTCCTGTTAATTTTCACTATCATTTCACAATCAGTCAAGCAACCCATCATATCAAATCAGACTCATTACAGAGAGACAACAGAGTATTGGTGTGGCCAATAAACTGTTTGGATCAAGCCTTTAACAATCTAACACTAGAACACAAATTACTCCGTTTATGTACATTTTGGGTCTTCATAACTGTGTAACTTTTATATCAGTTACAAACGTAGTTTATTTCAGTTATGTAAATGATCTCGATCCTATTGGTCCAGAGCATACTCAGTTAGAGCAGGTGGTGGTTACCATAGCAACACAATGTTTACTTGCAGCAGTTAGCATTTAGCTTTGCTGTATTTCATCTGTATTAACCAGTT